AAAAGTAAAGTTTTCACTCGGCGAAAGTTTGTAGGTACCACAGTTTACATGCTAGCAGGTATACCCAGTAATTGGGCCACTAATCGCACCAATGTCCCCCCAATTCTGCAGTAAAAGTTGTATCGTATCGGTAGAGTGGAAACGTAATTGCGTCGTGGATGACGTCGATCATTTTACTTTCCGAACTGAGCAGCTCATGTGCTCAAGTTTTTAGGCTTGTCGCAAATGTCTTTTATGCAGTATTTAACATGATTATGCGTTATCAAGCAACTTATTTTATCGTGTGGTCAAACTAGCGATTGCAGAAAGTTTCATATGGAATGGGTTTGTGATACGATCTCGTATATTATTCATGCCGGTTATTTCGCTGTCCTGGCTTTGGATCGCGACACTATCCTCGTTATTTGCCATGGCGATCACTTCGTTGATCTGGCTATATATAGACGCGATACGGTAAGTTGTATTGTTCTTATTGATTAAATGAATTTCTGCCTTAGATATGGATTGAGGGGCCGGTAAAAACTGTAATAAACATAATCTGTCCGCCAATGATTAGTTTCGTCAACGACAGGTGCGTTGAAATCTAACATTATCAAATGATATGCTATCCACGTTTCGTTTCCATTTCATGATTTACTGTTAAAAATGACTTCGATTGTTGTGCTCAAATTCATATTGATATTAACCACTTTCCTACAAAATTATAAATCTTTCATTAGAACGGAAACCGTGCTTCCACAAATATTTTCTGACATAAAATGAAATAGGGATAAATTTCGACCGAGGACTTACAACCAAAGTAATTTGAGAGTATACATAATTTCCTACAGCAACTTCCTTCAGTTGTTTTTGTTAGCTTTAAAGTCTTCAGTGAGGAATACGTCGGAAGTTCCCCTGTGTTTTGGCTTTTGCCGCCGCTCTGCTATCCAAACACGTGAACCAAAAACGCTTTCTGGCGGTGACAGTTCCTTTTTTGTGTTAGTTTTCTGCCGGCTTTTCCTGCCCACTGAACCCCAGGTTCATTTGTCTTACCGGCGCCCTGCAACCTAAACCTCATTCTGGTAGAAAGTTATAACCATAATTGAGCTGGATGGGATTATTGAGCCCTAAAATTAATAGAATTGGTTACCCTAATTGAGCTAGATGGGTTTATTCAGCCCTAAAATTAATAGAATTGGTTACCCTAATTGAGCTAGATGCGTTTATTCAGCCCTAAAATTAATAGAATTGGGTACCATAATTGATCTAGATGCGTTTATTTGGTTCTTATATTAATGGAATTGCTGACACTAATTGAGCTAAATGAGATTTTTTGGTCCTTGAATTAATTGAACTCTTTACCCTAATTGTGCAAAATGTGTTTATTTAGTCCTTACGTGAACGAAATTGATTAATTTACCTGAGTTAGATGGGATTATTTTGTCTTTTTGTATTAATGGAATATTTAGTGTTTACCCTAATTGGGCTAAATGGGTTTATACAGTCCTTAAATTAGTGGAAATGGTTTTTAGTTTTTACGTTCGTCGTTAATAAATGTTATCCACGAGGCCACTACACGTTTTTGATTGTTAACAATGTAATCAAATTCTGGATAAAAATAGCATTGAAACGGCAAGAAGATATTTTCTCCAGATAACCTTTGTAAGTTGCAACGGATGACACACTCAAGAAATATGTGCATTTAAATGGAGAATTTCAGAATTAAGTTTTATTGGTTATTTCCATTATTGACTGTTTTGTGTAAACTTCACTTGCATCTCAGAGTATGTTTTGATATCAAATAGTTATTCTTTATTTAAAAATTTGGCTAGATAATCATTTCATGATGATCTGTTAAAATAAAATCTGTTGTTCATAAAATTTTCTTTGAACTATTCAACACATGGAGAGCTTTAAACATCCAACAATACATAACATTTGATCTGCTCGTCTCGGTTTGTGTGTTACACTGTAAACTTTTGACCACTGTTGTACCATACCTAATAATAACTTCCAGCTCTTATTATGTGCAGTTCAAACTCTTGCCTGAATGTTAATATAACTACCCTATCAATGACTTGGTCGGCGCCGAAAACATTTTTAATTTATAATACTTCATTGTATCATCCTACACTCAAGTTATAATATTTTCTCTGCCCTTACAAATGAACAAAACAAACTTGCGGCGCGTTAACTTCATAGCGCCGCTTTTGTTCCGATTTGTTCGAAAGCCGAGACCTATTTATTATATTATTTATATATAAGATCCGTGCCTTATTTATCAATTATTATTTTGTTCGAAAGCCGATCCCTGCTCACCCAAAACGTTCCTTAGGAAAGGCCTGAATCTAACCAGTCGGTTATTTCGCTATTTTATTTTAATATGTTACTGTTCATGGATATTTTACTATATCAGTTTAATATTCCAGATAAATTTTGTGTTTTGGCGTTGACATTGTCAGCCTCTTCTTGACAGTTTTACTTAATTAACAATGCTCGTGAAATTTAAGAATGAACTTCGTATTCTAACCTTATCCTTATGCCATCGATTTATAATCAATGCAAATAAGCTCTTATAAATGCGCTCAAGGTTTCCCAGCTATTTTCTGGCATTAAATCTATCTCCGATGCTCGGCATTGCAGTCACAATATTGTCTTTTCTGATTCTGACTGATGAAATACGCCAAAAATACACTCCTGCCAAATATTTTATAGCGACACTCACAAATATCTGCGTCAACAAATGTGGAAGGCAGCTGCTGGATTTTTCATTCGTTGCATGACACTCAAGCTTTTATTCAGGCCTTACCAAGCAGCTGCTCTGCTCGATTTGGCAAACTTTCTGGCTCGGTCTTTGGTGTGAAACTTTTTCTGGACAAAGTTCGCTTTCTGCACCAACCTTCCCGACCGGCTGTTGCTGATTAAAGTTTCAAATTTATCCGGGTATTGCTGCTTTATTCGTGGGGATTTACTGACAGGCTTTGTTAAAGGTTTTATGAAGGGATATATTCATTATGGGAGCAAGGCATGTGCAGTGTTCATTTCCTGAGAGATTGAGTTTCTAATACCGAAGTGTTGGTATAAAGATGTTTTTGTTCTCTATAAAGTAGATTAGGTTACACACCTGAGCTTTAGGTGGCCAACTCGTGCTAATAATTAAGTTACACTGATGTCTTGCGGCTAATTTCCATATTGAGTTAAAAGAATTTTATTGAACGGAGTTATTTTGAAGTAAACACTCACCAGCGCTGGTCTTGCCATTAAAATAAGTTTGTTCTTGGGGATGGGAAAAACTTGATTTTTCTTGTAATTTTCCATCGATAACTTGAGATTTGTCTTAAAATATTCAAACACACATGATTTTCCTTTCAGAGTTGCTACAGTGAATGGCATCACCTTATAAGGCTGAATAAAAAATTCTAGCTCATATTCATACGTTGTCATACAGTGAATAAAGACTCAGCTCGCGACATGACATTGAGATATATTATACACGTTCGTGCTCGTATAACATTCAAAATCCTTGATTTCGTCTCGTAGTACAAGTGAAACACTTCATATTTAACCAGAATTATATGAGAATAATTATCAAAATCCAACGGTGATGTACAATTCGGCTTGGCGCTGCAGATGGTATATACAGCAGAGTGCGAACATGCATTTCTTTACAAGATTCGTTTAAATTTTTCTGAACACGTTAGTGATAATGATTGCGTTTTTCATTCGTCGTGCATTTATTTCATAGTTGTTGGTTTACCAACCGTTTTCTGAGTCGTTATTATGATTTGATTTTACGTTCTTATTAAGGTAATCTTCTATGATAATCTTCTATTGTATTGATCTTCTTCTGTTATTCCATTCGTCAAAATAATTATATGACAGTCTGATTGATTATAATTTGAGATTTCATCAGAATAGTATAATTGCATACATTGCAATGACATTTTTATCCTGGCTCCAAGTTTATCTTAAATCTTTATTACCACTTTTATCTTATTTGCTAATATTCTTTATCATCGACAATATTCCCAATGCAATATTATTCTAAAATTACTTTATAACATCATTTGACCATTTTCCTGTGATTCTTTGTTTACTTTTTAATTTCGATGTGAACGATTTGAAGATATTCAGGTACCATTTACATGTGATCTCAATTCATTTGTTAATTGCAATGTTAACTATATACTGTTGCTATCCAACCACATTTTTACCCACTTATCAATATCATTTGCTGATGCAGTAATTTAGACGTTAGTAGTAACATCATGTTGTCATCCGAACAATTTTTAATCCACCTATTATATCTTATAATATTATATTATAGGCAGAAATATTCAAATATTCTTGCCTTGAACTGTATTATGCTAAAGTGTGGTGTTGTTTATATTATAGGCAGAAATATTATAATGTTATTTCCCTGCTTTGTATGATGCTAAAATGTAGTGTTGTTTATATTATAGGCAGAAATATTATAATGTTATTTCCCTGCTTTGTATCTGTCTCTTATACACATCTAGATGTGTATAAGAGACAGANTGGATGAGTGGAGATGAGCATGGGTGCTTACTGGGTGAGTGGAGATAATTATTAATTTTTATTGGGTGAGTGGAGATGAGCATGGGTGCTTACTGGGTGAGTGGAGATAATTATTAATTTTTATTGGGTGAGTGGAGATGAGCATGGGTGCTTACTGGGTGAGTGGAGATAATTATTAATTTTTACTGGGTGAGTGAAGATGATTATGGGTGCTATAGAATATAGAACCTGGGTAAATTCAATGGAGATAGAAAAAAGAAACTTAGGATACAGGAGACAATAAAACTGGGAGTGAATAAAGTTAATGTCATGGGTAAGCGTAAATAGTTACGAACGGTTTTACTGGGGCTGCTGAAGACAGGAAAAGTATTTTTAATTGCGTAAAAATAGGTTAAAGTGTTTATGAGTGAATAGAGATGATAAAATACAAACAGGGTTTGGATGAATGGAGAAAATTCAAATTTGACCCTTGCCAAGCGGATATGGGTAAAGGTGAATTATATTCCTGTTTATAATAATTTTTGGCGAAATTTCTATGTTTAAAAATGATTAACGTACATACTCGGATTACGTTCATAATTTCAAGTGTGTTATGGGGTGAGAAACAAAGATTCAAAATTAAACAATTATCCACACTCATCGAGAATGAGTATGAATATTGTAAGTCTGATCCTTAGTAGAGGCGGAAAAACTGATGGTGGTCATGGGTCGGCTACTCAATGAACAGCAGATTGTGGGATGTGTGGGAATAATGAGCAATCAAACCAAGAATAGTGAAGATAATATAAGTTGGATACTGTGAGAATAATTGAAATAATCTGATTTGACTTGTAAAGGCGTTTAAAAAATTATGTTGATTTGGGTGAATGGAAAATAAATTTAAGAATTACGGAGATTTTATGTACTACAATTAAATTTATTCAGCTTACGAGTTCAATTAATATTATTTTACTAACAAAATACCACGCACCATGCATTTTTTCCCGCCGAGAAAAGTGTAATTTTTTAATGTCTTCGCGATGACTGTCATCGTTGATTTGCTATCGTGAACATTTCTCTGCGAGAACAAATTTATAATTTTTTCACTAATTGACAGGAAAAATAATTTTCTTGCGCGACTGATGTTCAGCTGAAAAATATTGTAAATATCCGCTGCATTTGAAGCTGACGACGTGCGGCGGTGATTTGCCGCTCTAATGAACAGTTTTTTCTAATTCGTGCAGCGCGTTCACGTGTAACAATCAGGTTACAAGTTTAGCATTGTGCTGTCATCTGCTAATCACATTATTGGTAGCCTCTTAATCTTTTTATTGGTGCTGTTAATCTCGTTATTTACGCTTTATTAATCGCAATATTGCTGCTTTGTTAATCTCCTCATTAGCGCTCTGTTAATCACAGTAATGACGCCCTGTTAATCTTTTAATCGGAGCTCAGCTGATCACATTAATGGCGCTCTGTTAAACTCGTCGTATGTGCTATGCTAATCGCTCACTGGCGCTGCAAAGCCTAAAATAAGCACATCGATCGAGTGATCGAAATTGTAATAATAATTCTACACTTGGTTATCACTTGCATTCAATTATTACAATTGATACACAATAGTCTTAATGGAGTCGAATACTTTATATAAGCCGTTTATGATTGTTATTTGGCAGAGACTTCAGGACTAACTTTTCATACTGGTTACGTTGGTCTAGATTTTTTCGTTAGATATGTAACTGGAACATTCGTAAGACCATTTGGAGTCCTGAAATTCGATCAAGATTTCGAGTAAACTTGAATTAATTTATCTGTCATGTTTTGCCGTGATGATGGAAAATTCATGTCCGATGATCACAGATATTTCTTCAAGTTGAACGTGTTGATCGTCCTTCCCTTCACCAGGGATGGGGGAAGCTGCTGTCCCGCTCATCTTTATTCCATTAGCGAATCGTTGCCTGCCACTAAAATAATTCCCCAAAAAGCTTCATGAAACTCGTTCCTGTGGCTGAATTCCATTTTAAGGCAGCACGCATTCCCGGACTTTGTAATAGCTTAAATATTTTGTTTTTGGATGATGACCACAGGCTTTCACCAGGCAAAATTTCTGAATCAATTTGCGCCTGCCTCGTAGGAATACCATTAAACGTGTTCAAGGTTTTACACGTCCGTTATTCCGCTGCTCTAATGGCTGGGGATTTGTGATGCCCAGATTCTTGTTTTCATGAATAGGCGATTGGATTGAATTTTTGTGCGTGATTTACTCCCTCGATGTAATTTGCCGGCAAGATGAAAGCAATTGCAGCGCATCTCGCTCGCTGTGTGCCTGGTGCTGTGCTACAAATATGAATCCATTAATTTTTCACTTTATTCTTGACAATATTTGCGTACCGAAGCACAGGTCGTGTAGAGGATGCGTGCCACTCAGTAGCACATGTAAAAAGTGCTCTAAAATTCCTGCTCTAAATAAAATTTCCGCTCTAAGTGATTTTCTTTCTGGTGTATATTCGGGACAACTTTGATTGTCTTTTTTGTAGAGGGAATTCTGGTTTGAATCAGCAATTACACTTCGAAAGAAGCTGGATATGAAGTTTGTTGTAATATTTTTTGCAGATCTAACCGTAAATTGGCAGGATGATAACAATATCCGATCCTTGTTTTTATGTTCGTGAAATTATGTTAGAACATCTGCATGAAATGGGAAAACTAAGTTCAAAATAGAATATTCTGATTCCGCAACAAGGCATACTTTGGTAGCGATTTGTTATTTCTCTAAAAGCATCTTTCTCTTGAAGCTTTAGTGATGTTGTAGAGCACTGGGACTGCAATTTGTTGTATATTTTGAACATTCAGCTTGAATCAACACAGTGACTGCAATGTTGTATATTGTAGGATTTAGCGCAAGTTTCCAGCTTATCAATTACGCTTTACTTACCTTAATTTAAGTCGAGATCGAATCCGAAAGATTCACCCAAAAGGGAAGAAAAGGTATTATATTTTAGGATCCGTAAGAGTGCATTTCTGAAGTACTTTTGTAAAACGGCAGTAGATTTTTTAGTAACTTTTATTCAGTTTTTTGGTATAATGCAGGGATTTGTGTTCTAAATTTAAAATCCGAGTGCATGACGAATGCTCATTGATGTTTCATAATGTGGAGGTTGAAGCGTGTCTCCGCTTCCATCTCCTCCAAATAAATATGGTGTAGTTTCTATCTGACTTTCTGTTTGTCTGACGTGGAGAAAACAAGAGAGGATAATTGAGTTAATTCTATTTGACAAGCACAATAGAACCATCTTTAGTGACCTTAAATGGTACGCTGACTTTTAGGTCAGCAACTTGGATACGCAACCTATCTCTGCTTTCACCACGGTGATCACATCATAGTTTCGTATCAACGCTACAATGAGCACCCGGCAGGAATTTCACTAAAAATTGTACCGCACCCGTGCGCAATCACGCATTTCCCACCTGAAGCGCCGTTCAATCGAGGTAAACCTTTGAATAAAAGTCCGTCACCTGTCAGCAGCTGGCGCTGAAACGCCCCGACGGAATGTGAGCAATGCGCCGCCGAACGGGACTGGGTCGTACGTATTCAGATTTAACTGAATCCGGTTTGTGTGCATTCTAAATCCACTAGCCCGAGCTGCAGCGGAAACGCAGCACAATGTCGCCAGCACTGATATATCGGAAGGCCGAGTGTCGCTTTCTCTCAATCTGAAATTCATATCAGTTTGGGCTTATGCAATTAGTGTAGAACTTGCGCGACATGAAACGCCATGGCAGTTCCTTTCCCAATGAATTTCATGGTTGGATTATAGATGGCCATCCGGCAACTGAGTGGCCCTTTATTGGCCCATATCAAATTCTTACTGGTTTGTTCATAGGTAAAAGAATCGCTGTATTCGAATGGTTTACGATGACCGTTCGATGTAGACTAATATCTTTAAACTTGAACCCAATTACTTGAACAGGTAAACATAACTTTTGGTTTATGCTAACAGAAATTTGAATGCCATAACCTTCACGCTCACACTACACAGTACAAATTTTGATCTTAAAATTAAATTTAAAAGACTTAACAATTTTATAATATATAGTACAAATAACCATTAATTTCAAGGGTGAGGTTGAGCACATACGTGTTTGAGATGCGGAACGGGAATGCTTGTCAAGCTCTACAGCTGCGCGCTCTGCAAAGGAAGTTCCGGTAACTGCTACTACTGCTACAAACACTGCTTTCTCTGTAGACGCTGCTACTGCCGCTGCAGACGCTGCTACTGCCGTTGCAGACGCTGCTACTGCCGCTGCAGACGCTGCTACTACCGCTGCAGACGCTGCTACTGCCGCTGTAGACGCTGCTACTGCCGCTGCAGACGCTGCTGAGGCCGCTGCAGACGCTGCTACTGCCGCTGCAGACGCTGCTACTACCGCTGCAGACGCTGCTACTGCCGCTGCAGACGCTGCTACTGCCGCTGCAGACGCTGCTACTGCCGCTGCAGACGCTGCTACTGCCGCTGCAGACGCAGGATTATACACATCGCTGAGGATCTCATGAGGAGCGTCGCAGGAAGAAGGGTTGCCGCTGATGCCTCCTTTGTACGCAAACAATGCGACCAGCGATCCTTTGTTAAGGCACCCATTATTTCAATGCGATGCCCAGGCACCCCCTCACTTACCTCACTCCCCCGCTCCATACTCACTCTTACTCATCAGTCCTTCACTTTTCTGTGCTATTACTACCTCATTGTTAACAATTATTATTCTGTCTATTCCTGGAACCTCTCCTAATTTGAGTTTTTCATCTTTTCTTGCATTGATTGCTTGTACATATGGTACTTTATAATTTATCCTCAACATTCCCTCGCACTCTCATACCCTTCACCTCCTCACTCCCAGTTTTTCACACTTCCTATTCTTCATTCAAATTTCACTTATCACATCCGATTACGTTGCTTTTCAACGCCTTTTCTCAGTATTTTTTACTTCTACACTCGTCCATCTCTAAAGCTTTTCTCATCCTCTTTCATTCTTACCTCACACCTACATGCGAGGGAGTCCACTCCTCTTTCTTTACTCCTACTTTCCACTCACTCCTCCATTCTTCCCTCACTCTTACCTGCCACTCACTCCTATTTCCTTCCACTCACTCCTCCATTCTTCCCTCACTCTTACCCGCCACTCACTCCTACTCTTCCACCGCTCCCGCTCTCCCCTCACTCCACCCTCCAGCTCCCACTCCTGCCCTCTACCAGCACCCTCATCAGGCGCTCCCAGCTGTGCTGGAGATGGACCAGGACGATGGTCGCTATTGTGCCGCGGGCCAGACTACCTGCGACGGTCCACAGAGTCCTCGGCTGTTTGTCTGTATTCTATAGCTGTTGTAAGCTGCTGTGTTACTGGTACTGGTGCTTTGCTGTGCATACAGTTTCCAGGCATGTGTGAAATTGTCACCAATACGTATATTAGAAAATATTCGCCTTAACTTCTTGAACTAATGGAGGGAACTCGTAATAGTGTTATTTTACTTGTAGATTCATTTGGGGAATTAACACGTCATTAATAAAGCAAATTTATTTGTCTCGGGACTTATCATTATTGATCTTGTAACATCATAAAAATTTTTGTAAGAAATGTTCGTAATGTTTTTGGTATAATGCATGGAAGCTTTCTGCGGTTGAACGATGGCGCAATCATACGAGCATTCGAGTGGCCACCGCGGGCCCAAGGAGGACAGCTCATAATGAGGGAATTTTTATCAAAATTTAAGTGCTTTCGAATTTTGAGTTCCATGCCTACAGGCTGCCGCTCCTTGAGTCTTGATTAGATGCTTCTTGAACCGGGACGAATTATAATTTGACTATAAGTTCTTTCCTGATAATATATACTAGATTCATCGCGGAATTCTAGTGGCTTGGAGTCGTCGTTCAAAGGAAAGTCGTAATCACTCTCGTCATTTTATATAAAGAAAGCGAACTAGTCGCTGATATAACTGGAAGGTGCAATGCAATCGTCGTGACATTACTAACACCGAAATAATTATTAGTAATATACTAATTATTCTGAAAATCTCGCACAAAATATTTGTACATCTTGGAAAGCTTGAGATTAGAGGTAATCATAGAAAAGCAGGTGGGATCATCGATTCTTTATTTTTCATTATAAGTTTCGTTGACTGTAATTCCCACATTTGAAATTTTTATTCTACTGTTGCTTCATTATATTCTCGGCTTCAAGATTTCCCCCTAGAAGTTTTGGTCGAAAAAAATACGGAAAAGAAAGCCCTTGCGGCATCACTAGGTGCTCTTTTACTTTCTGCAAAACGGACCGAATCCTCGCGGCAATTCAATAAAATAAATTCACAACTGCCACTAGATCGCCCCAATAACTTTTCAGTTTTGGTCAAATTTGTTTTAGTTTTGTTTCTTACTTCGCCGGAGCTGCCGAGTTGCAGAAAAAAATTGTTTTAAATGTGGCTCACAGGTGTACCAAAATACGGTCTCTCTCAAGGACCCCGTTGACCAAACGATCAGGGCCAATAAGGGCCCACTGAAGGAAGCCTCTGTGGGCCAAACGGCTCGTCATTTTGCATCGTTTACTGGAGGGTCCGGGACGGGACATGTCCCAATAGCTGGAGGGAGACTTGCACTATAAAACGATGGATCAATCTCTTCTCTACCTGCGCCGCTAAAATATTGTGTTTTCGTCCAGTGGTTGTGCGAAGTCGACAGAATTTAAAGACGAGCTTTCTTCGAAAGGATGCCGTTAACTTGGGTATTGGAAACCATTTTATCGCTATAAATGCTTCTCAAAACACTATTTACCGCTTTAATTTTTGCTACTTGCAAATGATACCTAACAGAAGCAAGTTAAATAAATTTGTGGCTTGAATAGAGATGACGTCTTTCATATCTTCTGTCTTGTTCGAGAAGTTCAAATTGTTTTCGGTGAAAAGCTTTTGTAATTCGACTACGGTGTGCATCTGTCGCATTAAAATTAAACTTGTTCAACGAAATAAATCAATTCATGGATTATTTAATGAATGCATCTTGTATCTGAATGCATCTTGTATCTGAATGCATCTCGTATCTGAATGCATCTCGTATCTGAATGCATCTCGTATCTGAATGCATCTCGTATCTGAATGAATCTCGTATCTGAATGAATCTCGTATCTGAATGCTGCTCGTATCTGAATGCATCTCGTGTCTGAATGCTGCTCGTGTCTGAATGCTGCTCGTGTCTGAATGCTGCTCGTATCTGAATGCTGCTCGTGTCTGAATGCTGCTCGTATCTGAATGCTGCTCGTATCTGAATGCATCTCGTATCTCGACTCTGAAGAGTAATAGTTTTTTCTTTCTAAGTATTTCGGGTTTTTCCCCTGAGCTCCGAGGCGTGTTGCGTTGAGAGATCCTGTCTCATGCCATCACATTTTTGCACCGAAAAAATTTACACTGGATTTTTTTGTTTTTGTTGGCCCCAAAAGTCCTGGTAACTGCATCAAAAAGATCACTGCGAGGGGGTGTCTCATTTTTGTTCGCTGTATCGTCGCGTCACGCGAGTTTTTCCTCCTGGGACACCTTGAGTTTTTTTTTCTCGCGAGTCTGGAAATTGGCTGAGTTGATGGAAAACGTCGCCGAAAATTAAGAGCCACGTACTTGAGGTAGAAGTAGAAAAATTACCGTACGCAAAATTTTTGTTTAATATTAAACCGAAATGGAATATGAAAGGGACAAGTATGGGAGTTGATAGCCTCACAGAGTTATAGATAGGAACTTGTGCATGTGAAATAGCACGCTTTGCATAAATTTACCCAAAGTTCGCAAATTCAGGACGCTATTCCGCAAAATAGAGACCAAATAATAAAAAAGTTTGGAAACTTTAATATGCACTTGTTGGGAAACTCAAAAATGCATTTAAGACGAATTCAAATGGTTGCATCACTACAATACGGAGACGACGATAATCTGGATGAGTGTCGTCCAGATTTTTTTATTACGTAGATCAATACTCTAGGAAAATAAGACCTTCACCTCTCGAAATTTTCGCGATCGGATATTGAGAAATTTTGTTGATTTTCAGACACGAGTGGTAGGAAGTATTAAGACTAAAGTACTAAATAAGAAAGTAAGTTACAGCTAGAGTTATAATTTATAAATTGTGCGACATGCTACGTGTCCGCAAAATTTCCCTTCACTAAGTTCGTTGTAATTTATTTCCTCTTTCGTACGTTACGTTTTTCATAATTATCAGCTTGCAGATCATGCTTATCTTTTTTCTTATTCGTAAAGCTTTCTAATCTTGCTCGGTTACTTTTTAACATTTTTTTCCATCCCTTTTTAAATCCATTTTTCAACTTTATTTAACCTCTTGAATATTCTCGATCGAATTACTATATTTCTGTAATTAACATTCCCTAAAAATTTTTCCGAGCAAATATTTTTTTTCATATATAAAATGTTTTTTCAAGTTGGAGAATTTATTCGTATCTTCAATTTCACAATTTCGGGCGCTGCCAGGAAACGAGCAAGGCGTCTCAGGTGCAGAAGGTCTTAAGAAGCTTGTCTTTAATGACAGAAATTAGGCGGGGTCTTACAGCCCATGTCTTAGGAGTATTATACTCAAGTCGTCGTGCTAATCGTAATTGACCCTGCATTTTAATTATATGATTAAAATGATGATGACTGCATATGATTGGTCGCATATGATTATAATCGAGTCATTATGCTAGCCTTTCTCGAGCATGCATATCAATAATTCGTAAGTACAAAGCGTGTGAGGTTTTATGCAATTTTTCACATTTCTCTATAAACGAAATTCCAAATTGAACGCAATTCTAACTCATTTTTTTATTAACTTTTTTATGCATTGTTGCCTTCAGCTGTGAAGTTTTTTTTATAAAATTTTTTTCTATGATTAACTAATAGGCTGAATAATTTCACTTCAGTTAACATTTCAGATTTAATGCTTTTGGAAAAATTATTAGTCTTTTTTAATGTTATCAATGTTTTGGTCATTTCCCAAACATTCAAAGTTGGTTTGTTCTAAGGGCAACATTCGTTTTGTGGCCGATTACGCCTGCACTGGAATAACCAATCCATCGAAGAGTAGTCGGTGAATCAAGGACGATCAGGCGATGGATGTATTTGCACCTGAAACGGTTTTATTGAAAGACCATCATGGACTTCTGAGTTATCGCGAAGAGCTCAATCTCCCGTTGACCGAAGTGCGTAATTTGCCAAAAACCTCGCGGCGTGAAAGAGCCGGAAGACCCACGAGCCAAGAGCCAAAAGACGTTTCCAATAGTCGAAAGAGCCGGAAGCTGCCCGAACCAGGAGCCGGAGGATCCACGAACCAAATGCCAGAGGACGTCCGAACCAAGACGACGCCCTGCGAACCATGGACGGACCTCGTCTAAGCGGTTAAGACTCCTGTGCCTGTGACTTGCCTGTTGCAAAGAGTTGTCTAGCTTTTCCTCGAGTCCATGATGAGGTTAAACCCATGTTTCCAGTGCCGCAAATTGTTAATTTTTGACAGTTGAGATTTTTTTCTGTGGGAA